AAAAAAAAAAAAAAAAAAAGATTTGGAACAATCAAAGAACTCGAACAATGGCAAAACCCTCACAATTAAGATTTGTCAGCAGACATCTTCACCAAATTGTGTCAAAACCTTCGTCCAGTTCCAGTCCCACCAGCATTAACACTTTTCGTTCCGCGAAGAATGATCCCAGATTCATTGGAAACTCCACTTTCCCATCTTGGGCATCAACTAATTTTCAGAAATCCCAATTTTCATCATCCTCTAATATTTCACGGTTTTGTGGAAAATTAAACCCATATGCTGATTCTTTTCCTGGTAGGAACTTTCTGGGTTTTAGATTCTTGTCGTTTAAGAATCACTACATGGGCTCTAAAATTTTTGCAAAATATCTGGGCAAAAACGTTGGTTCGGCTGTTACGAATACATTTGCTCAGTACAAGGAGGCTTTTGTGATGCAAATTGAGGCATTCTGGAAGAGAAATTATCTGGTGGTTCTAGGTGGAGGTGGTGTTGTGGTCTCCATTTTCCTTTGGAGGGTCTTGTTTGGAATTGCCAATACTTTTATTGGTTTCTCTGAGGGCATGGCCAAATATGGGTTTTTAGCTCTTTCTTCTGCTATAGTCGCATTTGCTGTGAGTGCTGTACTTTTGTAGTTTTCTACCTTCTGTCTGTTTGTTTTACAGGATGATGTTTTTTCTTTTAATGCATGTCTATGTATGAGCCATTGGTTTCTGGTTGAAGTTTGATTGACCTGAATAAATTATTATTTGAGGTAAAACATATTTCTTGGTTTCTTTTGTGCATGCATGCCTTAGGTGATTGTTTCGTAATTTTTAGGGCTATGTAACAATCGATTGGATGGTCACTAATGAGATTCTTCATTGGTGTCTTGTATCATGGATCAAGAAATATGTTTTACCTCCATATAGAGATTGTTTATTAGTGCACATGCAACACTGTTAGATGGGATTTTTATTTGTAGAAATGATCGCGGATGGTAACTTTCAAGCCAGAATATCCTTTTTCAAATGCCGATCAATTTTCTTCAACGCATGAGCGTAAATAACTTAAATCATTTGAGTTTGATGGTGAGTATTATATGGATGAATCCATATCATTCATGCATTTCTATTATATTTTATTGTGCTATGAAATGCTTGCTGGTGATTTATTTTGTTCTGAAAAACTGTGACACGTCGCTTGGACGAACTTGCTAATGCACCTCTTTCATGATGTACTGTTACAAAAACTACCCTATGGTTTGAACTAATCATAGAATTAGTTTCAAGAATTGCAAATCCCCCATTATAGTATTACAAACTCAATTGTTGGGATTTGTATTTTACTATATATAGTCCCTCTGCTCGGTTGAAATTTGTTAATGCTGGGTTTATTTGTTGTTAGATTAAAACCTTTAGTTATTTTTGGTAATTTCCTCATAAAAGGTTGAAACCTGTTCATTCGATCTGCACCATCAATTGGAACCAGATGCTTGCGATATTTCTTTCTTAATTTTCTTTTCTCCTTGAAGAGCAATCCTAGATGGTGATCCCACTATGTCTTTCTTATTTTAAGGGCTTGTACTACCGCTCAAAGCTGACAATCAATCCGGATAAAGTTTATAGAATAGCTATGAGGAAACTCAATACATCAGCTGGAATTCTTGAGGTTATGGGCGCACCACTTGCAGGAACAGATTTGAGAGCATATGTGATGTCGGGGGGAGGTTTTAGTTTGAAGAATTTTAAGCCAAGGTTAAGAAGCAAAAGGTGTTTTCTCATTTTCCCTATAAGTGGTTCAGAAAGGAAAGGATTAGTCAGTGTTGAAGTCAAGAAGAAGAAAGGCCAGGTTTTTTTGTTCTCTCTGCCTCAGATTTCCAGTTTTCATCAGATAAATGTTTTTATTAGCGAGCGAATAGCTGTTTCCTTCACAATAATATTGCAAGTGGTGGCTGGTCGATTTAAGACATTCTATTTATTCTCTGACTTTATATGTACTTTTGGTACACTTCTATGTGAATTTCATTTAGTAATTCTATTTATAGCAAACTGACTGAAAACCATAAAACATAATTTGAACTAAATTTATTGTGTCATATCATTTAGAACCGACATGTTTTTTTGTTACTTTTTATGGGTTGGTTTCGTCTGTTTTTGAAGTTGTATTTGCTTTGTTTTAAACAATACATAATCCATGATGTCTCAAATATCTCGCATTTTTCGTCTTAGTTATGCGAGAAACAATTTAAAACTTAAATCAATGTACAAATCATATAACTGTCACGAAAGAGCAAGTTGGTTAAATTATTTTACCTGGTGACTGAATTACATGCACCACAGTAAACTTCTACTTGACTGGATTCTGAATTTTGGATTTAAAGAGAAATAATTGTTTTACCCACCTGCCTGTTGACTAATACGTGTTAAAAATAAAAATAAAAAAATTATGCAGTACGACATGAAGTTATTGGCCGTAGATGTTCCCATGGCTAGTGGGCCCGATCAACGGCTGTTTTTGATGGGTGACGAGGAAGAGTATAAAATTGGTGGTGGCCTAATTTCGGAGCTGCGTGATCCGGTCGTGAAAGCATTGGCTGCAGCCAAGGAGTTTGATGCTCGTGATGAGTTGGAGGATGAGGAAGATGCTGCCAGGGAACTTGAAGAGGCTGAAAGAAGAAATCGTGAAGAAATCGAAAAGCTTGAATCGGCCAACTCTCAGTAGACGTGTGATATTTGATGATAGATATTCCATCTTTATCCTTTACAAGTAATAATGGTGCGGTGCTTTTTTATGGAGATCTTGTGAATTTTGGCTGCAACTTCATCATTTTGTTGTTCATGTTGTGATCTTTCTGTGAGATTGGTGTAAGTTTGTTGAAGGCTGGCGAGACATATCTAGGTCGAGTACCTCATTCGTATTTTGTTATTATGATGTTTTAATGTGGCAATGAAAGGGCAGCAAAAGATGTTTATCCGAGTATTTGTTTTTCAAATCCTTTAGATTGTGAGCAAGGTAGGTTTTTAAATCGTGTACAAGTGTTGGCGTCATTTCGACTTTGGAAATGTTACAAGTACATAATAAATGTACATAGAGGTGTACATAACACTCAAATGGAGTGGGTCCACTTGTTTTTTTTTATTTTGGTAATCTCACTCAATGAGAGCGTTATGTAAACTGATATTATGTACCTACATATAGCATTTATCTTCAACTTTCTACTTCTTTACTTCCATGGAGGGTTTAGTCGACGCGGTAGCGCGTGTTTTTGGGTTCAACCAATTGCCGGTTGACCCGTGGCAAAACGAATTTCAGCTTTTCTTTTTTATCTCTTATTTCCATTTTCCAGCAAGGCAAAGTCTATTTCAGCTTTATACATATATACACACATATAGAAAGAGAGGGGGGAGGGGGAGAGAGATCATATGAGAAATGGTCATAGTGAAAGAATTAAAAATGAATCATAGCTCTTGGATCTATCTATATCAGATAGTGAAAGAATTAAAAATGAATCATAGCTCTTGGATCTATCTATATGAGATAGTGAAAGAATTAAGAATGAATCATAGCTCTTGGATGTGATACATCTACTCTCTAGATGCAGTCAAAGGGTCCAACTTTAGTCAAACGCGCGGTGACATATCTGTAAATAAGTGGACTTTCGATGGTATTTCAGTCATTACGCGAAATGCACTGTTGCGATAAAGTATAATATCACATGCACCAAAGTGTAGTTCGTCTAACAATATGGTGCAATTTGCAAAGTGCATTTTAATGTGCAATTTTGAACTCTATATAGTGCAATACGATATACATTAAATTAAAGTTTTATTAAATTAGAGATTTAATCCATGAACTAAATTGTAATATAATTAAATATTTTAAAATTGCAATTAGGTCCTCAAGCCTATCTAATTTTCAAAATTCGTTCAGCCCCAATTTCAAATCTCTCAAGCGAATTTTCGAAATGGAACCACCGACCATCGCGCGTCTACGGCATCAGCCGGGGGTTGCCACGGTCCAGCCGTTGGACTGCTAGAAGAGGAAGTCGGAGAGTCCGGCATTGATTTTGATTTTGACGGCGGTTGAGATGTCGTAGGGTCGGTCGCGGGTGGCTGTCTGGTTAGGGTTCAAAAGCGACGATAAAACGATGAAGGTGCTTCGATTCACGATAATAAGATAGGGAGGGGGAGCTGAGGAATACGATGGACCCTTCTTCGATCGTTGGGTTCGCAGGTTGAATTATGTGCGAAGGAGTGGCGGGCGATTGATGTCAATTCTAGTGGTCTTCTTTCAGTGCTTACGGAGGCGAGATTCTATGAGGCGGTGGTAGCTGAGGTAAGCGGTCGTGGATGAGGAAGGCGATGGCGGAGGTGGTGCTCGCAGACGGCGGGAGGTGACCGACCGGTGGTTATGACGGGGAGGTGTTGTGTGTGTGTGTGTGAGAGAGAGAGAGAGATGCGAGGAGTGGGGTCTGATTAGGTGTGGCCCATTGTGAGTGTATTTGGGAAATGCTCAATTTACCCTTAATGAGTAAAAATGTTTGGCTTATTTTATAAATGTTTGCCTTTTTTCTTTAGCTGTTGGATTATCCGATCGGACGGTTGCAATGTATTCTTATTTCTTTCACTAAGCATCATTCTCACTTGAACATATAT